GATCAGAATGATAGATATATCTTGGATACAAAAACTTGTTCCTGTGGATATCATACCGAAGATGCTTTACACTTCTTTGTTTGTGTGTATAAATTACTATGTTCTTCGAAATGAAATGCATTTTAACCAACAGGGTTATTCCAACAGGGCTATACGGAAATTCGTATTTGAGAAAGGAAGAGCAAATCCTAATACTAGTTTCTATTCAAAACTTCATATTAAAAACTGGCATATTTTCAGTTAAATGAATTGTTTAATATAAACTGCAAATACATTTATTATGTATACACATATAGCTTGGCATGTACAATTCATTTGTTAAATCTAACCTTCATTGATGTATTTATTGTAATATGTCCCATGTGTAATGGAGCGGTATTAACATAAGCGCTTCGCTTGTTTACCAATTAATTTTCATACTTTTGTGAAAAGAAATATGTTTAAACCAGGTGCAATGTCAAGTTGGAAGAAACACCTTTGATGAATTATTTTGCCTGAGCAGATTTGCCTAATATTTGCCATTTATGGTCTGATCTTCCGGGAGGTAGTCCAACAGTAGGAACCTTTGGATGGAATCCCAGAACAGCGAATCAGATGGCAGGTGACAATATATTCAGGTCACAGGTAACAACATACTTAATTGATAGGGGACAATACACTCAGGTCACAGGTGACAATTTACTCAATTAGCAGGTGACAAAAGATTCAGATGACAGGTGACAATATTCTCGGGCGACAGATGTCAGGTGAAACCTTGCTAAGGTGACCATTGACAATATACTGCATTACACGTGATAATATACTAAAATGACAGGTGACAATATACTCGGATGACAGATGACAATATATCAATTGACAAGTGAGAATATTTTCAGATGACAGGTGGGATTGCTACTGGACCACTCAGAAATATGTTTTCTTATTTTAAAAATATATAATGGAATCCCAGAACACCGAAGCCCTCACTTTGCCAGGTGAGGGAACAAACAATGCCCTTCTCGTCGGATGATACGTAAAAAGTATCAACTACTTTGACTGCTGACTGCTTTGACTTGACTGTTGACTCATCTAAGTCGCTCAACAAAATCAGCTGGGTCTGTTTCGACGAGAAATAATGAATCTGGAAAATGAACTCAAAATCCAGGTTACTTACTTACTTATATTGGAGATTTAACGTGCGCTTTCCGACTGCAAGCGTATGTCGCACACGGGCCCGGCCAGGCCATTTAATGTGTTTCCGAAAAGGGGAAAAGTGAGTTTGTGCAACCCAGGAGGGGGGCTTTAGGGGTTGCTTATATAGTAATTTTGAAATTTTGAGATTTGGAATGAATGCCAAGAGTGGGTGGAGGACTAAGGGAACTGTGTGTGTTGGGTGGTTGTTAGATTAGGTAGTTTTGGTTTTAATGTTTTATTTGGGGTTTAAATGCGACTAATTAGTCCTGTTTTAATTAGGTATATGCCTAAGGCTTTGAATTTTTCTAATTTATTTTGTGGATTTAGGATTGATTCTAGGGTAAGTGCGGTTTTAAGATTTAGGGTGGTCTGTAGTGTTCGGTGTGTTTGGTAGTGGTGTTCTGGTGTTTTTTGTTGTTTGCAATGTGGGCAGTTTCCTGTGTGTAGATTAGCTATTTTACGGTGATTATTTAGTTTGGTGTGGCCTGTTTTCTAGTATTTTTGGTTTAGGTAGGTTTTTTTTTAGTACTTTCATGATTTTGGGTATATATTTTGCCATTTTTTGTTGATTTTTTGTTTAGTGACACTTTTGATTTCTGATTTTCAGCTGGGTAAGTTTAAGCTTATTTCTGGGAGTTTAAGGGATAATTTTGCTGCTTTATCTGCATTTTCAGTTCCAAAGATTCCTACGTGGGCGGGGATACAAATGAACTCTATTTGTTTACCTGCCTTAGTTAAGTTGTTTGAGCTTTTGAGTATTTGATTTATTAGTTTAGACCTTAAAATCCAGGTGAAATGACAGGTGAAATATACTCAGTTGACAGGTGACAATGGACTCAAAAAGCAGGTGACAATACACTCAGATGATAGGTGACAATGCACTCAGATGGCAGGTAACAAGATACTCAGTTGACAGGTGACAATGTACTCAAAAAGCAGGTGACAATATACTCAAAAAGCAGGTGACAATATACTCAGTTGACAGGTGACAATGTACTCAAAAAGTAGGTGACAATATACTCAGATGATAGGTGAAAATATACTCAGATGGCAGGTAACAACATACTCAGTTGACAGGTGACAATGTACTCAAAAAGCAGGTGACAATATACTCAGATGATAGGCGACAATGTACTCAAAAAACAGGTGACAATACACTCGGGTCACAGGTGACAATATAATCAAATTGAAGGTGACAAAATACTCAGATGACAGATGACAATGTACTTTGGTCACAGGTGACAATATAATCAAATAGCAGGTGACAATATACTCAGTTGACAGGTGACCATATAATCAGTTGAGTTGTGATAATATACTCAGTTGACAGGTGACAACAAAAGCAGGTGACAATACACTCGGGTCACAGGTGACAATATAATCAAATTGAAGGTGACAAAATACTCAGATGACAGATGACAATGTACTTTGGTCACAGGTGACAATATAATCAAATAGCAGGTGACAATATACTCAGTTGACAGGTGACCATATAATCAGTTGAGTTGTGATAATATACTCAGTTGACAGGTGACAACAAACTCAGATGACAGGTACAAATATACTCAGGTCACAGGTTACAAGATGCTGTACAATATACTCGGGCGACAACATACTATATCACAGGTGACAACCTACTCAGATGACAGGTAAAAATATACTCAGGTCACAGGTGACAATGTACTCAAATTGTAGGGGACAAAATACTCAGATGACATGTGATAATGTACTTAGGTCTAAGGTGACAATATATTCAAAAAGCAGGTGAAAAAATACTCAGGTCACAGGTGACAATATACTCAGTTGACAGGTGACAACATACTCAGTTGACATGTGGCAATATGCTCAGGTCACAGGTGACAATATACTCAAATATCAGGTGACATTAAACTCAGGTCACAGGTGACAATGTACTTAAATTGCAGTTGACAAAATACTCAGATGACAGGTGACAATATACTCGGATGACAGGTGACAGGTTACAAGATGCTAGACAATATACTCGGACGACAACATACAACATCACATGTAACAATACACTCAGGTCACACGTGACAGTATACTCAAATAACAGGTGACAAAAGATTCAGATGACAGGTGACAATACACTCCAGTCACAGGTGACAATATACTCAGGTCACAGGTGACAATGTACTCAAATTGTAGGTGAAAAAATACTCAGATGGCAGGTGACAATATACTCGGGCGACAGATGTCAGGTGAAAACTTGCTAAGGTGACCATTGACAATATACTGCATTACACGTGATAATATACTTAAATGACAGGTGACAATATACTCGGATGACAGATGACAATATATCAATTGACAAGTGAGAATATTTTCAGATGACAGGTGGGATTGCTACTGGACCACTCAGAAATATGTTTTCTTATTTTAAAAATATATATAATTTCACTATTGAAATACCAGAAAAACGCATACCAGATAAGCATTTCATGGCATCCTGAATTCTTGACAAGGCTCCGCACTCGACATAGATAGGGTGTTTTTCACCCTCCAATCTACCTGGGGGCATAATTAAAGGTATGTTATTACACCCTGTCCCATCGCATTACTTTCACTATACTTAATTGGCTTCTCTCCTGTTAATCCCATTGGCTTCCTTGATATTTCGTTATTTTTTTTACATTAATCCTACTTTGTGTAAACATATCAGAATATGTATGTACATGAACTGGTACTCAATTTTTTGTAATATTTGGCAAAATGGCCACAAAAATGGAATTTATTTGTTCTGTGTATTTATGGCATGAGATAATCAAACACAACAATGCAGTCATTTGAGTTTGAATCTCATGTGTTTCGAGATGGGCACGGGTGGCCCAGTTGACTAAGGCGCCGCGATTCGCTGTGAAGAGTTGCGTCCCTTGGGCACGCCAGGCTATGATTGTGGGTTCGAATCCCGGTTCGCCCCGATTTTGTTTCTAGGCTTGTCAGCACCATACCCGTGCTCGTGGGTTTCACCGAAGTGGTAAACGTCTGAGACCTGCATCACTTCTGGCTTTCCTCCCACATTAAGCTGACACGCCGTGATATAACTGGAATACTGTTAAAAGCGGCGTAAAAACCCAACTCACTCACTCTAATCTACCTGGCCCCAACAGATACTGGAATATACGCCTACACCTAGACTAAAATTTAGTCCCAGAAACATAGTTATCTTATTTTAAAAAATATATACATGTGTCTACAAAACACAAAATAAAACCTACATGGAACCCTAAACCATGCTTAATTTCAGAGCTCATTCTAGACTCGACATGGATTTAGTTTTAATTTGTTTTCTAGGACTGGCAGACTGCACCACCAACTTCAATTAGGCTGAACGATACACAGGACGACAATATAACAGACTAGGATAGTGTACCTCTATGTGACCTGATTGAAACTTGCTTGGGGAGTGGAATAGGTCTTCAGCAAACCATGCTTGCCGTAAAAACCGACTATGCTTGTGGTAAGAGGCTACTAACGGGATCGGATGGTCAGGCTTGCTGACTTGGTTGATGCATGTCATCGTATCCCAATTGCGTGGATCGATGTTCATGATGTCGATCACTAGATTGTCTGGTCCAGACTCGATTATTTACAGACCGCCGTCATATAGCTGGAATATTGCTGAGTGCCGCGTTAAACAACAAACAAACAAACAGAACTTGCTTTGGCTCCAGCTTTGCGGGAGCCCACAGCGACCCCGCCTCTTGAAGGGGACACCAGTCTCTCCGGCATGTATTCGGCCGTGTCCTAATAACATGTAATTCAACATGAGGAAAAACTTAAATGAGGTCACTTTGCCCGGGGGCGATATTGAGGAAAAGTGTTTAGGAGGAAAACATTTTGTAGTCGAACACAAAGCATGACACATTTAAGCGCATTTTAGCATTTACACGACAGAGAAACTTGCGACGGAACGCTATGGACGGCATCATCGCGATAGCGTGCTTTTTCTCTATAATCGTAAGTATATCTTTGTGTGTTTACGTCTACATGTACACTCAATTTTCACACATTATCCCTTTCATCAAATTATATTTGCTAACAAGTTTAAACGCGCATAGAGGATACCGTAAAGGTTAACCCCCAACGAGGATGTCGGTTTAAAACTGGTCCCCAAAATCCCATGGCAGTTGTAAGAGACATTGATGGATCGGGGGATGAGGCGTGATGATTTGGTTGATTGTATGTCACCATCCCTCGACGGCGTGGATCGTTGATCATAACATCCATCACTGGGCCAGACTTGATTATGTCAAGTCCGCCGACATATATTGTTTTTCGAAAACAACTTTCTTTTTCTTTTAACTACAATTCTATTACGTATATCCATTTAACAGTTGGTAAATAATCCCATACACGCACACACTGTCTCCATAGGGCACAAATTCTTTTACGTACACACGTCTAGCCCTAACCTGAAAATGGACACAAGATCCATAGCAAGATCCCCCCCCCCCCCCTCTTCAAATATACATCAACAAGCTATAGAGATACTACAGATATAGTATTGATACATTATAGTTTAAATAGTATTGTACATTTAGGTAATTGTATTAATAACGGTGAAATGTTCAACTAAACCGTGGCGAAACAACTGATCATGCCAATCAGTTACTGGGAGGATATAATGTAAGCTTCCTGTTTTGTGGAAATGGGGATTTCATCATTTTGGTCCTGTTATTGGCTTTTGACCAACAGCGATTTGAATCCTTGTACATTTGTAAATTACTTTATAATAATTAACACACTTGTTTACGAGGTATATATAGATAAGTGAATTTGGGGATGGTTTAGGTCCGTCGCCCACCCGTCTATAGTAAAGGTTCATGTTCCAAGCAATGACGTCCTTTAAATGTGAATTTTTGAAATGGCCGCCATTGCAATGTTGAAATCTTCATCATGATATCCCACCTAGTCATTATTTAGTCACACATCATTTGACACTTTGATATACAGCGAGTGTTCTATCTCTACTTGAATTAGGGGCGGTCGGGTAGCCTAGTGGTTAAAGCGTTCGCTCGTCACACCGATGACCCGGGTTCGATTCCCGACATGGGTACAATGTGAAGCCTATTATTGCTGGAATATTGCAAATAGCGGCGTAAAACCACTCACCCACTCACGATTTGTATTATGTAGAAACATAATAGGTTTTAAATAATACAAGTGCTGACCCTTTATGACATTTAGAATCTTTAAATACTTTCTGCTCATTTAAACAACAATCCAAACCATTGAGGTGAGGGACATATGCCTTTTTCGAAATCAGGCATTTCAGAAACGTTTTACCCTTGTATTTTGACATGGGTGAGTCACTGGTCAAACCAACACAGACACTGTAATATACTGGCGTCCTGGGAATATATATTGAATCCTAAGTTCTCTGTATTGCAGATGCTTCCTGGAGTCCATTGCGCCAAGCGACACAGGCCGGTGATGTGCGGCAAGTCGGACTCGGACAAAAACGACGAAAGCATGTTAATGGTGGCAGCGTTACTTCCGGACAAGATGATGACCACATATCCCCATGCCCGGACCAGTGGAGTGAGAACCTTCTTCTCGCGATTGTCCAACTCGGAATGTCCAACGCGTCTGCCAAAGTCGTCTGTCCTGTGTCCCCACTACGTCGTGCTCAACTTCGACCGCAACAGGATCCCTACCGTTATCTATGAGGCCAGGTGCAAATGTAGTAAATGTTTGGAAATGCAAACAAACGAGTGCCGACCCGTGTACTTCTTAAGATCCGTTCTCCAGCGCAATACCAGCTGGTCATGTTTCGAAAGGAAAGTCATAGCTATCAGTTTGGGCTGTCAGTGCCATACTATGAAGAGGATGGACATACATTGAGATCCAGTCCATCGTTGAAGGGGATTATATTGAAATACGGATTCAACGAACTCGTATGGACTTAAGTTGTAGTTCGATACATCAGTACATCGTGATATCGTGTGTTCGCAAGAGCAATAATTGCTTTGTCAATATTTTGTAATATCAGTTTGGAATTTAAGAAATTCCAAATAAAAAATTATTGAACTTTCAATCTCTGTCACTTTGTCACGCACGCATTGAACATTAATTTCAGGCGTGTCAGCTGAATGCGGGAGGAAAGCCCCACGCCCCACTTGGCTAAAACCCACGAGAAGGGGTATGGTGCTGACAAACATACTGATTGTGTTTCCTGGTCAGCACCACTTCCTGGATTCGAACCGAGATCACAAGTGTCTGGCAAATGGGCAACGCTAAAGACGGCTGTGCCACCCGCCAGCTATATACCCCTGTTGCAGTGACACCACCCCCTTCCACCCCCCACCCCTTAAGTCCGGAACCAATCAATTCGGAAATCTCACGATCCACGACTGATTACCCATGATACGTTTATACGTAAATATTGTTAATACAGACGATTTCATTGTGAACGTACCTTCGGGAATAACGGGGTTTCATTGTATATTATTACCTGTCATTAATCGACTCTTAACTATGCATCAAGTGATCGATAAGATGTTCAACGATTCCCGGCGTCGGCGTGGGGGCCGGGAGAGGGCGTGTGGGTGGGTGGAGGGGTGTGGTGGGTGGGGGGTGGGGGTGGGGGTTGAGGAGGTGTTGAGATGTTCCGGACTCCTCCCTTTTGAAAACCAGATGTAGTACGTAACCCTCTCTCCTACACTGAGAGGAGTTTGTTATTTTTGGTTTTGGACCCCTCCCTTTTAAATATGCTGGAAGCGCCCTTGCTCCCCCGTGATGTAAGTTATGTATTGCTGAAAGAAGGGCACACCATCACGACATGGAATATGAAACATCAGCGTCCCATAATTATCCGTCTCGATTATATGGCTCAACAGATGCCATACTACTCAAAAATACTATGACAGATTAGCCATAGTAATATGAAATAAGCTGGTGTTTTTTACTTCTTTTGAGTAGTATATTAAGATATGCTCCTCTCCTAATATGTCGTGGTACATGCATGCACACGTAGTCACGGATGCTATTTCAACCCAACATCAGAAAGCATGACAGGAAAGTTGTACACCCGGTAAATTAGGATGTTGCTAATCATACCTGATTCTATGAATGTATAGTCGTACACATGTTTTTTCCTAGTTGTTTAATAAGATTATCTTTCAGGATCGTGAGTTTCACTATCGAGACGTTTTCTATTTACACGGCAGTTTGTATACCACCTGCGTCAAACGTCAAACGTCATTAAACTTTTCGGGTTTTTTGTTTATTTTATTTTATAAAATGGCATGATTTATTGTCTTTACGTAATATCTACATCCGTGTTTTTGCTCCAAAGAAAGATGATGACACTACTGACAGGAAATATGGACATATTCTTATCAACCAGTTTCGGCTTTACACTCCGCTGTAAACGCATGTACGATGTGAATGGACCCGAAATGGCAAACAGTCTCTACTGATTTCTGTCAAATGTTAAACTGAAATAAGAACTATTTACACCTTGAAATGCTATTTACACAACGACATCGTAAATACAGCCTGACTCATTGATCCTCTTTCGTCGGGATGTTTTTGTTAGAATGTCAAACAATGTACTAGTGTTTACGTCCTCTGCTTTTCTCACTACGGTTTAACCATTGCAGTGGTATTACATGTCTCTTCAAGCAAAGTTTCATTTTGAGTGAGTGAGTAGGGTTTTACGCCGCTTTTAGCAATTTTCCAGCATTATCACGGCGGGGACACCAGAAATGGGCTTCACACATTGTACCCATGTCGGGAATCGAACCCGGGTCTTCGGCGTGACGAGCGAACGCCTTAACCACTAGGCTACCAGACCGCCCTTTCATTTTGAAGAGAAACAAATGCTTGAGGCCTGTTTTACGTACATATTTCGTGGCTTAAGTTTATCAGAAACACTCGTGAAAGTAATACGTATATGTTTTGTAATATTTAAAGGGGGACATTGGCAAAGAAATGATATTAAATGCTTAAAAATATTTATTCATATCAATTAGTTGTAAATATCTGTCGTACCCAAGTGCCCCTCAATTTTGTGAGCCAGGACCCCATACACACAAACATTTTACACACTGGTGTCCAACATAATATATCTCCATACACCCAAGGTTTGTCATATTGGTGTCATGCATGATGTATCTTCATACACTCTTCTTTGTCAAATTGATGACATAAGGCCATATTAACTACACAACCTAGCTTTGTCGTATTGATGTCAAACATGCTATAATCACCATCAACCATAGCTTTGTTATATTGATGTCAAACAGGTTTTATATTCCATACATCGAAGCTTTGCCATATTGATGTCAAATATGCTAAATTCATCACATACTATAGTTTTGTCATATTGATGTCAAACAGGCTGTTTTCTCAATACATCTATGCTTTGTCATATTGATGTCAACAAGCTTTCTTCTCCATACATCTAAGTTTTGTCATGTTGATGTCAATCAGGTTATATTCTCAGTACATCCTATCTTTGTCATATTGATATCTACAAGCTTTCTTCTCCATACACCCTACCTTTGTCATCTTGATGTCAAACCGGTTTTCTTCTCCATACATCCAGGCTTTGTCATCTTGATGTCAACAGGTTGTATTCTCAATACATCCTATCTTTGTCATATTGATGTCATACAGGTTACATTCTCAATACATCCTAGATCTGTCACATTGATGTCAACAGGCTATATTCTCAATACATCCTAGCTCTGACATATCGATGTGAACAAGCTATATTCTCAATACATCCTAGCTCTGACATACTGATGTCAACATGCTATATTCTCCATACACCCTAGCGTGTTCATATTGCTTTCACACAGTCTTTATTCACTAGTCATACCCTTAGCTTAGTGATATTGATGTCATAAGGTAATCTGTCATACATACATACAAACAAATACATCTAATACAGCCCATGCATCGCTATAATGTTTGGCAAGTCTATACTAGTGCAGTATCTGAAAATGAGGAACGTCTCTGGGCTCCTTTTTATTATATTTTATAACTGTGATTTAACAACTGTCTTTTCTGTAAGAGTATGTTCATTTCAGAGACTAGATGCTAGTCTAGTCATAAGGCTATATTCCCCGTACACCTGGCTACGTTATACTGATGTCAGTCTGTGGCCTGTACGGCTATATTCCCCGTACACCTAGCTACGTTATACTGATGTCAGTCTGTGGCCTGTAAGGCTATATTCCCCACACACCTAGCTACGTTATACTGATTTCAGTTTGTGGCCTGTAAGGCTATATTCCCCAACACCTAGCTACGTTATACTGATGTCAGTCTGTGGCCTGTCTTTTTGACTTTTAATATATTATTAATCTACAAGAGTGAGTGAGTATGGTTCAACGCCGCTTTTAGCAATATCCAGGCAATATCACGGCGGGGGACACCGGAAATGGGCTTCATACATTGTACCCATGTCGGGAATCGAAATTAATCTACAAGACAACCAGCACACTCACCATCAATAACGTCATGAAATGTACATCTGGGATTACAAACCGCGTGTTGGTTGGTTTGTCGTCAACGTCGCACACAGCAATGTTCCACCCACATGACGGCTGCCTGTAGATAGCCGGAGGCTAAAGTGCCGACCATTTGGTATTTTGAGGGGCCTAGACTTTGTATCGAGATAAACTATTTTTCAGCTTCAGCAAAAAAACCAACAAAATATTATTTAAAACTCTGAGCCTGAAGTTGTTTTTAAGAAATACACCATGCAACAGTGTAATTTTTGTGGCAGGCAAATTATTTTTTTCCAGAATTTTGGGGGACAATTTATTTTAAAGGCGACGTTTCGGTACAGATCCTTTGTAGTTGTCAAGCAAGACTGTCTTGCTTGACAACGGTATAAGGATCCATACCGAAACGTCGCCTTTATAGAAATTGAAGAAGTTATTATTCATAAATTGTGTCTACTTTGTCATCCGTCAACTTCTAAGTAATGCCTCTCAAACAATCCAATTTATTTTTTCGAAAAAATTCCATGATATACCAAAGCATTCAGAACATACAACATAATATCCTGTTTTCTGAGGATTCATCACATCTTTTATTAGATATGAATATTGTTATAGTGCAAACCATTTCAATACTTTTACTTAAATAGTGCAAACCATTTCAATACTTTTATTTAACATTTCATTTATCTAAATACCTAACTGGTTCAATATGTTTCCAAGTGCACCGAAATTCTATGCCCTTTGTCTGTTTAATATATTCAGCAAACATTCGGCGTTCCCCTCTTATCATAAGCCCCTCCGGACAGGACCCTTAATCTCCAGCGCTATCTATAAATTTTAATCAACACCTCCTAACGTCGCCGGATCTTACGTCTATACATACACGTGGGACAATGACCTTGCCATACGTTACGTAATACCTCGCTCTACAAAACCCGACTGACATGGTCAGTCACCATCCATCAAAAAAAATCGACAGAGTAATCACTAAACTCCAAACAGGACACACCAACCTAAATAACCACCTAAAAAAAATAAAAAAACATACTACAGGTAACTGCCCACACTGCAAACAACTAGAAACCCCAGAACACGCACTCATCTACTGCACACACTACCTAACACATCGAACCGCATTACAAACCACCCTCAATCTAAACAAGGCTCTCACTCTGGAAGCAATACTAAACCCACAAAATAAACTAGAAAACTTCAAGGCCTTAGGCGTATTCTTAATCAAAACGGAACTAATAAAACGCATCTAAAAACACTATAATCCACCAAATCAAAATTACATAAACACACAAACATCCACCATACCCAGCTCCCTTAGTTCTCCTCCCCTACCCCATTGGCATCTATTCCAAATCTCAAAATTCCCAAATTCTATATAAGCAACCCCTAAAGCCCCCTCTTGGGTTGCACACACCACTTTCGCCCCTTTCGGAAACACATTAAATGGCCTGGCCGGGCCCGTGTGCGAAATACGCATCAGTCGGAAAGCGCACGTTAAATCTCCAAAGTAAGTAAATAAGTAAGTAATCAGTCAGGGAGACAGCCTGGAGACAGCCAGAAGATCGACTCGTGTAAGTGACAGAACTGTTCTCCCACCCGGGACGATTGGCCACTCGGTCCCGGTGTGCGTTCTGTCACGTTATTATCAACATGTACCTTTTCGACTCATTTCAATCTGCATCAATAAATATGGCTGCTGTCGTCTAAACTTCATCCCTGAGTTTTGTCCTCCGTCATCACCCTGAGCTACCATCCGAGGGCCGAAACTAACGCCCTTGGACAATATGACTATCTATATGTCATATATTCTTTCCTATCTACCCATACAAGCAATAGCTGGCGGAGAATGAGTGGACCATGCACTTCCTTTTAAGAGGACAAAAGTGAAACATCAGTGATATTACATATATTCATCTACATAGAAAATATAGATTGATGAGATGTCTATAGAAAACATAAAACGTTAACGTCATAGAATCACCAGTCTCGATTATCCGACGAAAACGATTCCAATGGGCGAAAAGGCAAAATGGCGGTGAAAATTATGAGAATGGATCACGGAAAAACAGTGATGATACCAGGTGTTCGCGTACAAAGGGTAAACATGTCCTGCGCTACTGGTAGGAAGAAAGTTACATTTCTCTGTCCAAAATTGCAAAAGTAGTTTCTTACCATGGAAATTAAACGAATGTCATTAATATCTGAATAAAAATAGTGATTAAGTAAAGAACTGTGGTGAAATGCAATAATTGTTATTATGAAGCAGATGACAATAACGCCACTTCTCTTCCGTAAGTCCATAAAATACAGAAAGCAGAAAACTTATTATTAAGTTATTTGCATGCATATCCACCAAGAACGGAACATAATGATGTAGGACTTGGTAACATGCCTTGTTCTGTGCGTTAGACGAATTCTGAGTGATGTAATGCGTTATATGCTTGTTCAACCTAACCAAACATAAACAATCGTGGATGTATAAGGCCTCTAATATTAAATAAACATCTTGTCTGTGTGGATTTTTTATGAACTTCACCCCAGCCTTATATTAATTTTGTTTGAGTTAGTTTAAAAATAAACTGCCTATCGAGAATATTCCTTGATATTCACATACACAAACTAGTCATTTCATGTTTATAAACTTGTTTTGAAGCATACCATTCCTGTGCACCTACTCATAGGGCTACTCAATGACAACCATCCCACCCACAGCCAAGGTCAGAATTCATTAACGCCCCTCACACTAGCAACCAAGCCACATACTGACGTACGACACTCGCGGTGGGTAGATGCGCGATTGTTTGTATTGAAAGAGCCGGATTTAAAATACCACCTCACTCGCTGTGAATGATAGGGAATTTACATAACTTTAAATTGATGCACGCATTCTAACGATCACCGTCTCATCTTACCGATATCATCAATTACAATTTCCTACAAATCTTCAGTTTTTGTTGCTGGCGGGAATGTGATCGTTTTATCACGGTTAATGACAGTCAATGATAAATCAACGTGTCGGCATACACACATCTCCACGTCGTGTCGGGGGTAGATGGGGATTCCCCGTCACGAAACGGGTGCATCTAAATATAGCACCCTAGGAAGATCGGACGATGTAACCAATCAAATTGCAGATAGTGACCAAGCGCTGCTTCCAGTGATTTCGCGGCCTGCTCAGACATACATTCAAAATGTTTACTATCTGAGTAGGAAGTTTGACGTAATAATTATTATTATCAATGGAAGTTTTGTCTGTCAACTGTTGACAGGAATGACCCCTGTTCCGTGTTCTGGTGTATATATTAAGCTTATGGCACATTCTTACTTCATTTCTGACATAGCTTCCAACTCATCATTTTGGTCCGAGAATGTGTCGCCAGGTTGGATGCACGGTGCTCATGTTGGCGACTTTCTGTTTCTATATGGTAAATATCTTTAAGCTTTACAATCATCTGAACCTTTTCATAAGGTCGGGTTCATACAATTGGTACTTTTGTGACTGGAAAAAATTGAAGCAATTTTTGTATTTCTGTTTCTGGTAATGATACAAGAACGTGATTAATGTGTACTAGTAAAAAGAAGTTAAAGAACACCCGATTCTTTCCTTTAACCATAGTTAATCTGTCATGCCATGCATTTTAAAGAACGGGTGCAACGGGTCGTTTGGTATATTCGATTCAGTGTAAAGAGGCGTATACATTCTCGATAGGGAAAGAAAATATCAATATTAATAACGATAACAAAATATTGATGAGGCTATAAAGTAATTATTTGCCGTGTAGACGATATCAGTATTGATGATTTTGCCATATTGACAGTATATGTCAAACTGACGATAAGGTTGAGGATAACGTTGACTGTATGGTAGAAAGTGCTGCCGTAAAACTGTCGGTATGACTGTACGCATACTGTATAGAAGTAAGGACTGCAGGTGATACTCACAAAACTGTCGGCATGACTGTATGTATACCGTATTTTAAAGAGGAATTAGGTTCGGACAAACTAACAGTCTCAGGATTTTCTGTTATTTAGGTAATAAATTACACAGAGACGATGTACCAATCCACACCTAACAATAAAAAACAACGTCAAGACCTAGAGTCCTTTCAGTATTTCTGGCAGATATACGCAATGACTGCATGTAATATTGAAAAAGCGTGCGGTATCACGACGGGTGTTGTATATGTAACAATATGAAAAGACATATTCGTCACATTCACATCTTCTCTTTTCCAGCTGCTAACAGTCGGTGTCTGCAAAAGACAAAGTGGGCCAACAATATGCACAGATTCACCGGTCTTCACCATTGACGAAACCATGAACCTCCTACTCAAACCACCAAAAAACTCCACGCCATTTAGCAAAACCGAGACTGAGAAAACTACCTCTACCCAGGAAGACACAAGGTGTCCCAGGAACGGTTTCTCCGGAATCCCTCCGCTGAGCACCTGCCCGCACTACACCGTCTTGAACTATGACCCTAACAGAATCCCGCAGCTGGTGTTCGAAGCAAAATGCAGCTGCAAAACCTGTCTCTCCTTGACGGGCAGTTCCAAGAGTCAATGCAAGCCTGTGTATTACTATAGGCATGTCCTTCAAAAAGACACTGAAAAGGCCGAAGAATGTTATTTTCGGAAAGTGAAAGCTTTCAGTGTCGGATGCCACTGTATTGGGTACAACGTGAAACCAGGCTCTCGGAAAACCCTTGCATAATGTGGCGATGTTCGTTGACATTCCTTGATGCCTTCATCATGTGGTGACTTTAAAATGGTGCTGAATTCCAACAGAACAATCATCTCCATAATTTTATTGACAATCAGCACAAACCCTGGAAGCCATGTGTGTGTGTGTGTGTGTGTGTGTGTGTGTGTGTGTGTGTGTGTGTGTGTGTGTGTGTGTGTCTGTGTCTGTGTCTGTGTGTGGTGATATTATTTGGTATTCTGATACTAGTCTTGGATGGCAATTTTGCAATATCGAAACTCGTGTCCCAGGTGTCGAATCGTAACACATCTTTGTCATCAGTACGACACTGCCTAATTTATGTATTGTGTTAGGACTCTTGTCTCAACAGCCAGTGTATATATTTTTGTTGTTATGTTATTACCACAGTGACACCCCGTTAATCCGAGAGACATTTCTACGTAACCAATTACTGTCTGGTTTAACGGGGCTTCACTAAGATACAGCATAGCGATGGCCCAATATCACAAAAGCATTTGGACCAAACCACAACCGCTCTTTTCAAATATTAACAATAGGTCGTTTCAGACTGATTTGCTGATTTGTGATAATGGGATTCCAATTTATTTACTCAAACCACTGTTAGCCTTTGTAATTGCCACTCTAAAAGTGGCAAATTATTCAGTACCAATTTGTAGAACGCATTTATTTATTTAACTCTTATTTAACCGTTGGTAATGCCAAATTTAGGATTGTGCAGTTGTCTGGTGGATATAAAGTGACGTCAGAGTGAGTGAGTGAGTGAGTGGATGGACGGGTGTTTGGTCGGCTGTTTTCAGGTGAGCGAGAATGGTTTTACACTGCCTTTCATATCACCTGGTGGAGTTTAAACACTGTCAGCCTTAACGCTATAGATGTGAACGCTGATTACATATTTATTGATTTCATGTTGCTTAGGGGCAGTTAGCCTTTGATCGTGACTAGATTATGATATTATCATGGTGTTTGATGTTGGTAGTGATCTGTGTCTAAGATCTAGTGTTAGTCTATTGGCGTGCTCGCCAAAATGGTACTTTAAACTATGTATGTGATATTCACAAAACTGTTCAGAGAAACTTTTTCTCGTAGTGTATGAATCTTTGTGTTCAAAATGTTGTTGCAATACTCAAGTGTATCACTGTTGTTAATAAAAATAGTTTAAAGTGTTCAAAATATTAATTCATTGTTGGATGTCAGAATTTCCCTATTAACCCGTTTATACAGCTAGCCTTTTCTACTGATATTAGTGAGTGAGTATACATGCTGTTTTGACCAATATCCCAGCAACATCCCAGCGGGGGACATCAATCATGGGCTTCACACAGAACAGGGATGTGGGGCGTGACTAGACTTGGATAATTAATAGTTTAAATCATAATTTCTAAATTATGTAAATATAAGAACAAGTTGCTCCTATATGAGAGTGGAGTCCTTGTATTGTCCACATATCTAGACTTGCCTATTAGGAGAATAGAATTACCACACATTCATGGACATTTCTTTCAGTACAGCCTTGGAGCAAGGCTAGGGCGTCACGACTGGACGCTTCAACGACTAGGCTACAGCTCTGCGCCCGCCCTCCCCCTCACCCAACCCCCGTTTCACGTATACGAAGACTTCGTTACCTACTTAATTCCAAATCAAAAGGCTATCAAGTTACCTGAAATTCCGGACAATGGAGACCCATGAAGATCCGGGTTAGAATAGGTCTTCAGCAACCCATGTTTGCCGCAAAAGGCAACTATGCTTGACGTAAGAGGAGACTAACGGGATCGGGTGGTCAGGCTCGTTGACTTGGTTGATGCATGTCATCTATCCCATGTTGCGTGGATCCATATTAATCATGATATTAATTACTGGATTGTCTGGTTCAGATTCAATTATTTACAGACCGCCGTCATATAGCTGGAATATTGCTGAGGTTGTCGTAAAACAACAAACCAACCAACCAAACGAACCGGATAAGGGAAGTGCTAATACGACGTCCTATAAAGTTACATCGTCTCAGGTGATTGAGGTTTCAATGAATGTCACTATCAGTAAACACAGACGAGATGTAACCTCAATGCTTCTGAAGGTGAGGTGAAATAGGGTTGATCGTGTGTTTAAAATAATTGCGCTTACTGCACTAAATGCACGCGTCTGTGACTGCTTGTAGTGGTTCGGACGTGTGCCAGTGTGTTAGCCCACTGAGATAGTATGCATCATTTTGACATGGATACTTCAGTAAACAGCTTATAGTGGAGCGACAGGGACCGTATAGCTGGTTTGAGAGTGACGCTGTCGTCCGTATTAGGATAGTGTGTTTCGCTGTCAGCGGTGTATTTGCGTGAATATCCTGCCTGCATAGTCAAAAACCTGTAAAAAGATATTGTGTTCGTCTCTAGCGCCACTGTTCACAAATGCGTCTGAGCGCCTGCAACTCCCTTGTGTCGTGTTGAAGACTACATAATTTTACACACGAATAATGATGCGTTTCTGAAAGACATGAATATGAACACCCATATTGCTGCGCCTTGTACATAAATACGATCTTTTCCATGTCTTGAAAGATTACATAGATAATTGTAATGTTCCCAGTAAATGTAAATGGACTAGCCTTGTGAATGAAAAGATAAGAAATGTAGACTCTGTTAGGCTATTGAAACAAATGTGCGACCGACATGACCTGTTAAGATATACTGGTATCAGATCAGAAGGTCAACACAGGACTTGGCAACTTTCTTTACGATTTCCTTCAAAGTTTTATGTTCTGTCTAATATGGTCAAAATAGGATGCTCTAAGATTGAATCACGAGAATGTCATTACGGAACTGTAGCCCATGACATAGTCAAACACATTTTTATGTCATGTACTATAAATATGCAAGAAAGAAATGAAATGTTCGAAAATATCTTTGGTACCACAGATGCGAATTCCTTTGTTGACCTTTGGTCAAATGATGATGATCTTATCATGTCCTTCCTCTTAGGTGGACTGCCTGATTGCATGAAAAACCTTGAGCTTGAAATATGGGGCGAAACTGTGTTACTAGTCTCTCATTACGTTAACAAGTGGCAACACTTGTTCATACCCCCTTCACCATGACATGTAACTACTTTGTTTAGTTTTAATCTAATTCATGTATCTACAATGTATCTTATATAATGTATCTTCAGTACTGGAGGAAATAAAGACAATCTATCTATCTATTGCTCTGTAACATGGTCACAGAAAATGTTTTTTCAGACATCTTGTTGTTTGTTCTCCGTGTCGAACAAATCGACATTTATTATGTATCTTACTATCCCCGAAGCAACAGTTGGTCACTTTTCATCCCCATACCATTGATGTGATACATCCTTCGTATTCCCGGACCTCAAACACACGTCACAGTCTCGTGGAAAACCCATTACCAACAAAGGAGGAATTTGGAGCCTAATTTTAACCCTCTGTGTATATCCGGGTAAGCGTGTATAAATTCAGTTTTATACCTCTTCTACATGCGTGTCTACATTGTACTCGGTCAGTACCGTAGTGACTGTTGTAATAGGACCAGGGGCAAGTCTTGATGACGGTGCTCAAAACTAGTTGCCGAGGTCTTATTTATACAAATAGCCATTTATAGTAAACGTCTATATTTAAGCCAGTTCCTTGAAAGGCACCAAGAGTTAAGCAATAAAATATAGGACGGCTTATTTTGTATAGTCATTTTTTGGCATTGTGTTGTATTCCATTTTCGTTTTTTTTTTGAAAACTATTTGAGACCTAATTGGACTCTGTTTAGAAAATTGTTTGACATCTATCTTTAGTTCTACCTGCAGAACAGTTTGCTGTCTTTGTTTTTTTTTCTAGACAACCGTTTGACACCGAGAGAAACGTTTGAAACCCTTGATTCTATTAAGAAAACCGTTCAACACGATTGATTCTATTTCAGAAACTGTTTGACATCCATGGTTCTATCTAGAAATTCATTTGACACCCTTGAATCTATTTCGGGCATTGTTTGCAATACGTGGTTCTATCTAGAAAACTGATTTTACACACTTTTACACAACCGTTTGACTTACCAGAGGACTGTATGATATACTTGGTTCTTACCAGACAACTGTTTGCCTGCCTTAGTTTCAAACCAAACTATTTGACACCTTTGGTTTTAAATAAAACACTGTTTAACACCATTGATTTCATCTACCAAATGGATTAACACTCTTTTTCTCTTAAGAACATGTTATATTTCCTGGGTTCCATCTGTATAGAAATTGTCTTCACCATTTGTTCAATCGAGAGAAGTGTTTGCGAGCAAAGTTTGTTCACCGACGCTTTATTGATTGTGGTTAAACAATAACGTTTAACTGAATATATGCGGTAAATACACGACGCGTGTTGTTTAGGCACAGTATTCCCTCTGCTGGTTTTCAATGACAGACACGATCTATGTAAGGCACATAACTTCCTAGCCGCATTGTAAACTTATGTAGGACAACCCTCAGCTTCCTTGTAAGGTCTTGCCAGCTTTTCACTCTTCACCCCACCTAAAAATGTGGGTCTGTAAAGCTCGAGGTTACCGCGATCTGCAGTGTAGGCTCACACATCCTTGTCGCTGGTTGGTTGCACTGCACAAGAAGCAAGTCTCTCCTGGAATTTCATTGGCTGAATAGTATTCATCTTAAGCTAGGAAGAGATAGCAGAGTAGACGGTTCACTGTTTACCTTTTATTTAATTACGTAAGCATCCAGGCGCTTTTTTTAGGGTTCTTATATCAGATATTAAAATTAATATTCCCTCTTAATCTATTGTTTATTTTGCCATCCAATCTCAATTTCACATTGCTACAGCTTATATACGTCACATACAATGTGTAAAATGACTAAAATTTTCACATAGGCAATTTACAAAACGCCAAACGTCATTTTACAATTATTTTATCATTTATTACATTATGATAACGAATTCCAAACTTTTTATGATATTTAGTCTATGATGATGCTTTTAAGCCCATTTCAACATTTCTTTAACTTTTAGTCAATAATTGTAAAAAAATTGTAAAATGACTGAAATACTGTGAAAATTTCAATTTTACACATTGACTGTAACATATATATGTATCTCCTTTTTCGGTGTTTAAATAATATGATTTCAAAGTCAGAGCCATCGAGTAATTATGTTTTTTTGCCTCTTTTAAAACAAAATTACAGCAATATCGCGTCACAGTTAACCCGATTCAATGGCGTGGCGTGCGATAACTTGCGCAGTAGGCTCCATCACAACAAAGTCGGCGAGGGCCTAGTTGCCAGCACAGTGTCTCTTAGTCGTGCCTATGCCCGTGGGTACCAATCGTCCTGGTTGTGATCCTTGGTTTGTCAGCCGTCTCCAAGTACCCGAACTGCACCACTTCGGACTTTCCTTCCACAGCTTGCTGGTTTTTGACATTACAGGTGCTAGTGTTCCACGGGATTGAATGATTTACTGGGTGAACCTCTCGTTCTTCAGAAGAACTGATATTCCTGTATTCAGGGAGATAACTGACTGTACATATCTGAAAAACATATTTGTGATAACTGTATCAAACGTGCGAGATCGAATTCGACGTCCGTGATTGGTTATGCAATATTCAAATTATGACGGACTATTTTCTTGATTGTAAGTGATTGATAAGTTACTCGTGGTTCGGTCGAATTCACCTATCTCTGTTTCGAATCTTTAGCGTGTTAGAGTGTTAATAAATGTTCTTTGGTCTTTTCTAGTTTGCACTATCATCTTAGACTTGATAATCCACGGACATGGCGGAAACTTTTATTGTGGAGGTGACACTAGGTATGGGTGGTAAGCAGTAGGCCCGATGATGTCACAAATCACCGTTGTGTTATGTATCAATGCGCCACAGCGATCGTGAGAAAAGACAAAATATGCATCAATTCGATGCTAAAGTTGTTTGATTTTTGGGTGTGTAAGAAACAGATTACTGCACTCGTGCCTGTCAGATACCATGTATGTTACAACTCGTTCTTTCAAAGCGTATCTAACTCGCTTTCGCTCTTTGGATATGTTTTCAAACAACTCGTATATTAAATGGTAACTGACAGAGTTTCTTTTGATATAAAATACATAGAGTCAATAATAGTTTAACTTCGA